TTATTCTAACTACGGGCAAACTTCAGTGTCTTCTGTGTCACTAGCTGGGTTCTTCTGCGGAGGTGGGTGTTAGTGCTTGGAAAATATTGCATGGGAGTTTTTCAACTTACTCTGCCAGAAAGGAAAAATGAATTATCTTTTAGGACCAACCTAGAAATGGACAAATGGCCAAATACTGTGATCGAATGACTAAACGGCAGAAAATATTTTTCTAGGAGTTTTGGGTGTGGTAGGAATGTACTTGTCATCTTTTTTATGTATCACTTATTCAACTGTTATTTTTAGCATGAACCTTCATCTCCTTCCTCTCCCACTTTCCAGAGCAGACCGTAGCCTTTCTGAGCTCATTAAATAAATATAGCTATATTAGCAATAAAGAGGAAACTTTTGCATTGCATTTGTGTCAGTGCTTAAAAATGGGAGTTTTCCTCAATTTTTTGTTGATAATTTTTCTTTTACAAATGAAAGATAATGAAAACTTCCTTTGCGTGACTTGTCTTCATTCATGTTATTTTTGTGTTTTGTGCACAGGTATTAAAGAAATGAAAGCTCAAGTCCCATAGAAGTTGAATTTTGATTTTCATGTCCTGATGAAATAAATGTCTGGGGCAATTATCAGTACTTGTGGAATGTAGGAAAAAGGGGGGGAAAAACAGTCTTGGGTTAAAGGAATTGATCTGGGGCATTTTCATTTTTGATCATATTAGGAAAAAATCTCCAGAAATTCCCTGATAAGTGTGAGGTTGGATAATATTGCTATTTTGGTGACGATGGTTGAAATTTACTGCGGTGGTATGTGTCATAGATACAAAACTGTCTTCTATTTGTCCCTTTCATTTAAGGAAAATGTATCCGTATCTCATCTTTTGAGGGATAAAGGGATAAAAATAAAATGTCTTTCCTTTTAGTTAACATTAATTTGGGGCTGAACTTGAAGATCAAAGCTGGTAGGAAATTGAGAGGCAAGATTGTTCACCCAAATGAGAGTGTGGGTAGTCTTACATCTTCTCTGTAGAACACCTGGGGATTTGTGGGTAGAAATGCAGTTGACAATCAGATGAAGATTTAACTGCAAGTTGCTAAGTAATTACTGGGTAGTGCACGATACCCACCTTGTGAGCGAGAGGACCAGGGGCTCAGGGGCTGCGTTCTAAGTGCTCGATTGAAGCTTGTTTCTGCATGTTGCTCCCATCAGGATCAGCTTTGGGCCTTGGCCAACCTGGAGGGGCCGGCTTATTTTATTTTATTTTTTTTTCTGCGGTACGCGGGCCTCTCACCGCTGTGGCCTCTCCCGTCGCGGAGCACAGGCTCCGGACGCGCAGGCTCAGCGGCCATGGCTCACGGGCCCAGCCGCTCCGCGGCATGTGGGATCCTCCCGGACCGGGGCACGAACCCGCGTCCCCTGCATTGGCAGGCGGACTCTCAACCACTGCGCCACCAGGGAAGCCCAGGGGCCGGCTTATTGTGTGGCCCTGGTGAAGTCACTTTCCTCCCTGGGCCTCAGTATTCTCTGCTGAGAAATGAGGGTGTGGCGACCCTAACTCCCTTGCAAGCTCATTGCCTGTGTCCACAGACTTCCCCAGTATTACAAGGTCTGTACTGAGCTCGTGGGTCTGGCCTTTGTACTTCTCTCTTCCCTCTAAGTAACCCAAGCACCTGCATCCACTGGACTTTTTACCTGCATATCCTCCCACATCCTTCTCTACAACTTTGTTGAGTCCGTGGATATAGAAAAATCAAATATTTCATTGTTTCTTATCCAACCACAGATCCTCATTTGAACACGCTCTCCGATTCTCTCCGTAAAGGACCATGACCTTCAAAGTAAGATAAATATTGTCTTTAAATATGGACTAGCTGTGTGACTAATGATGGCTTACTCTGCCACAGAGCTCTGTGGGATGAAGGATGTATTAGTCAGGGTTCTCCAGAGAAACAGAACCAACAGGACCTGTGAAAAATATATTTGTAAAGAGATTTATTATAAGGAGTTGGCTCCTGTGATTACAGAGATGGGCAGGCCCCAAGATCTGCAGTGAGTCGGCCAGCTACAGACCCAGGACAGCGGGTGGTGTGGTTTGCCCCTGAACACTGGCAGGCTGGAGACCCAGGATGGGCCAGTATTTCAGTTCCAGTCAAAAGGCAGGAAAGAGGCCGATATCCCAGTGTGAAGGACCATTGGGCAAGAGGAATTCTTCCTTGCTTGGGGAGGGTCAGACTTTTTGTTCTAGCCAGGCCTTCAACTTACTGGATGAGGCCCACCCACATGAGGGACGGCAGTCTGCTTTATTCTATCTACCCATTTAAATGTTAATCCCATCCCAAACACTCATAGAAACGGTCGGATTAGTGTTGGACCACACATCTGGGCACCCCGTGGCTCAGTCAAGATAAGGACAGGACGCGTCATTGAAACGGAGAAGTCATAAAGTCCATTCTCATTTTCTACTAAGTTCAGATTAAAAAATTCCTCTACAGTGTGCAGTACTGATTGAGATACCAGTTCTCTTGAAACATAATCACATATATTAACAAACTTCTTGATCTTTGTAAGGTCTGCTTTGGGCTTTTGGGGTCTCCCGGCGCCTTCTTCTTTCAACAAACCTAAGCATCTGAATTCATTTTCTTCCTATGAACTTACCTGCACTTTGTCCCGGGTTTTGGGTAGAGGGGTCTAGGTGTGCTGAAGATGATAAAGTGTTTCTGGCAAAATTTGAAGATTCCCTGTGTATCGTTTAGGATGGAACTGTCTTTTCCTTCCAGTGGTGCTTTGATGTGTAGTCATTTAAATACATTCAATGATGCCTTTAAAAATCTTTGTAAACTGCAGAAGTCAGTGAAAATATGAGAGATTGTCATCTTCCCTGATCTGTAGTGATTGGCATGGACCTGGGTTTTATTTTATTTGGTATTTTGTCTTTTTATTCCTCTGTGGATGGCATGGGCTCCTTTATTGTCTGGTATCCAATGCCTCACTGTTTTTCTTTCCTTTCATATCCCACCTACCCCTCCCCAGAACCCCTAGAAAGCATCTCATAAGCTGTTTCACGTGGAGTTATAGATGAGGGATAAGCTTGAATACACTACCCAACCTAGAAATACCTGCATATTATTAGAAGACAGAAGAATGCGTCTAAGCTGTGGATGTTCAGGTGTCAGCTACCGAAGATATTTGTGAGACAGAACTGGGAGTATAGTGTTGCCGGGACTTAGCGCTCCTGGTATGTGTAGTTTATGGTTACAGAATAGCCATCCATTACTTCCGGAATCTAGAACACTGTAACATGGCAAGACCACGAAGAGATTTGCAGTTCAATTGGAACTGCCGTGTTAGTCTAGAACAGTCATCCTCTCTCAGGCTGGTACCAGAATTGTTGGAGGTGCTTTTGAAGTGTGAGCTTTTCTGGGCCTCATGCCTAATGAGTGGACTCCTCAGGCAGTGGAGCTGGGCATTTTTCACTTGGAAAAGCCAGCAGCTCATTCTGGTATTGATTCAAGGCTGACGTGAGTGGGCTGTTACATCACTAGCAAGGTCACACGGCGTCTTAAATGAAGTTAAACTGGAAACTGGGATTTTTCAGTGCACTCTGGGACTTTTGTTTTGCGGACAGACTATGACAGATCAACAAATTATTTGTTTAGACCTTGTAGCCATTAATTTTTTTTTTTTTTTTTGCGGTACGCAGGCCTCTCACTGTTGTGGCCTCTCCCGTTGCGGAGCACAGGCTCCGGACGCGCAGGCCCAGCGGCCATGGCTCAGGGGCCCAGGCGCTCCGCGGCATGTGGGATCTTCCCAGACCAGGGCACAAACCCGTGTCCCCTGCATTGGCAGGCAGACTCTCAACCATGACGCCACCAGGGAAGCCCCATCATATATCTTTTATGTGGAAAAGTTGTGCAGTGACCTTCCTAAGAAATGGATACAGAGAACTTGGAGGGGGTCTAGGGAGCACCCAGAATTTGTCCTGCTTTTCCCTGGGCAGAGGCTGAGGGGACCATAGTGTTAAATGTCAGAGAGCCTTCAAAATATCATTTATCCAGGATTACGGGTTGACCTGGAAAGTGTACTGTGAAAGGTTAGGATTTGTTTGGGTGCTAAACTTGGCAAAGCTAGAGATGCAGTTGTTGCAAATGAAATGACACAATTCTTGTACTGAATCGTTGTAAGCCTTCACTACAGACCTTCTCTTGAATTTCGAGATTGCTCTGAATACCATTTGAAGCCCTGCTTTCTGTTCTGTTCTGTTCTGAATCCCTACGTTGGCAACTTACTAGGGCCTTTCTTCATCTATTCGTTTATGTTTAAGTGAAGGTAATACTTAACACAGAACATACTTTGACATTCTTGGAAGAAGGGAGAGAGTGGCCCCCAGAGTTTGTACTTCTTTACCATCTCATGACTTAAGTTTTGAAGAATATGTAGAAATTTCTGTCGTGTAAATAATTTTATGTGTCTTAATAAAGATGTGTAGATGGTGATTCTTCTCTAATACACTTAAAATAGGAGTAAAAGCTCTGTTTGTCCTTCTGCCTGCAGTTCATCTGCTTGTTATTTTAAGTGATTCTCAGAATGTACAGAAATGTGCAGCCACTTGCCTCCATTCAGCCAGCATCTGTTTGTGTGCAGACCGGTTAATCTGATTAAGATTAGAGGCTGTGAATGTAAATGAGACAAAGTGAAATAACTGACTTTCAGTGGTGCATCCTGCCCTAAGTCAGCCCGGTTTTCAGCACTAGAGCTCTCCAGAGGCCATGGCACGGCACCGTATTGGGACCGCCGGCTTTGTTTTGTCTTTGGCCATCCTGATGAAGTACAGTGCGGTCCGACCCCATGTGTTTGGGCAGGAGGGCTTGAGATGGGGTGAGCAGGGAAGGCTCATTTCAACCATGCAGCACCAGCTGAAATGACTTTTAAAGTTTGTGAAAGGGGTCACGTTTTCAATTTGACCCATGAGCACTTCTCATTTTTATTTAAATTAGTCCTATTCTTGCTTAAACAGATCCAGCAGTGGGAGCAGAACCTGGAGAAATTTCACATGGATCTGTTCAGGATGCGCTGCTATCTGGCCAGCCTGCAAGGCGGGGAGTTGCCGAACCCCAAGAGCCTCCTTGCTGCTGCCAGCCGCCCCTCCAAGCTGGCCCTGGGCCGGTTGGGCGTCTTGTCAGTTTCCTCTTTCCACGCTCTGGTGAGTTTCCAGGAAGGCTGTTCAGCCGCGTGAAGGGGGAGCGCTGCGGATGCTCACCTTTCTCCAGCTTGTTGACATTCCGCACTGCTGTGACTTAAGCCAATAACTGACCAGGGCCACCCAGGGGCCAGGCGCCGGGGGAGGGATGATTGGCGTCCTGCTACCAAGTCCCAGCATCCCAGCTTCTTTGCTGCCCATTCTCGGAATCCAACTCCTAATACACAGTTATTAAATATTCACATCTGCGTCTGCCCTTCTGTCTGTTCCACCTCGTAAAGTCAGGAAGGTGGAATCCCTGAGGAGTAGCAACAATGGTGTGAAGAGTTAAAGGGCTGACGGAAGGTTGTTTGATCTGTTCTCCCGAGAGCCCCACTGGGTTTTCTGAAATCGCTCCTGTGCAGGTGGCTTCTGTGGATAGTACTAGCTCAGCGTGGGTGGGGTGTGGGGGGGTGGCGGGTGGTCCGAGGGCTGTTGTGCTGACCCTGCTGTCCACCCCGAAGAGATGTGAATGTTGTAACTAGACGTGTTTATCCAGATAAGGGACATCTCTGTGGTGGATGCGGTCCTGGTATGTCAGACCTGCAGCAGTTTTGGGGGCTGCTCAGAACACATTTATAGCAGGCAGGGCTTTACTCCTGTTCTAGGGCAATGGTTAATTCTCTCTGTCATCTAAATAATGGCGTCTTAAGATTTTTCTAAATTGTTTTGAATTAGGTATGTTCTAGAGATGACTCTGCTCTCCGGAAAAGGACACTCTCACTGACCCAGCGAGGAAGACACAAGAAGGGCTTATTTTCTTCATTAAAAGGGCTGGACACGCTCGCAAGAAAAGGAAAGGAGAAAAGACCGTCTATAACTCAGGTGAGTTTGCCAGCATGGGAGGGACAGCAGACCTAGCGGGAAATCCTTGATATGCCATAAATCATAAATGTTCATCCCCCTTCAGAATGAGATAAAAGTTCCTTCAAAGGGATGCAGTCTTAGCATGGATTTTTTCTCAAATGGAAACACACAAGTTGCTCAGTCTCTTTTTGGCACTCCCAAAGAGGTATTCACACCTTGCTCACATCTGCAGCGCATGGTAACCCAAAAATAAGAATCATCAGAAAAGAAACCTTTAGAAGTAATTGTCATAGATTTTATATTAAAGAAAAAAAAGGAAGAAAGTGCTGATACATGCTCCCACGTGGATGAACCTTGAAAACATGATGCTAAGTGAAAGAAGCTAAACACAAAAGGCCACAGGTTTTATAACTCCATTTACGTTAAAAGTCCAGGATAGGCACATCCATAGAGACAGAAAGTAACTAGTGATGGCCAAGGGCTGGGGGGAGGGGCGCGTAGGGAATGACTGCCAATGGATATGGGGTTTCTTTGGGGAGTGATAAAAAATATTCTGGAATTAGACGGTGGCGATGATTGTAGAACTTTGTAAATGTACTAAAAAAAAAAAACCCCAAAACCAACATGTAAAATTAATAATAGAGTAGCAGCAACTAAATTCTATGGATGGTGCCAGAGGCTTTGCGGACTTCATCTTTATGACACAAAGTAGGCGTTTTGTCATCACATTTTACATATGAGGAGCCTGAGACCCGGAGAGGTTGAGTCACTTCCTTTCCCCGGATGTTCACGCAGCAGCCGAGAGGCAGGGCTGGGACTTGGTCTACCTGGATGCTGCAACACTGGGCCATTGCTGCTGCTTAGTTTTCTGGAGGAAAGGCGGCTCTTTCAACATTTTGTCAAGTTAAAAATAGCCCGAGTGGGCTTCCCTGGTGGCGCAGTGGTTGAGAATCCGCCTGCCGATGCAGGGGACACGGGTTCGTGCCCCGGTCCAGGAAGATCCCACATGCCGCAGAGCGGCTGGGCCCGTGAGCCATGGCCGCTGAGCCTGCGCATCCGGAGCCTGTGTTCCGCAACGGGAGAGGCCACAACAGTGAGAGGCCCGCGTACCGCAAAAAAAAAA